AGAGGGAGCGCACTGGGGTCTCTGGTTTAAGGACACTAATCCCATTTATGAGGCTCCACCCTTGTGACCTGATCACCTCCCAACCAGTGCAATGGGATTCAGATTTCAACACATAAATCTGAGAAGGCATAGACACCCAGTCCACAGCACCGTGGGATTTCCCTTCCAAACGCTTTGTTCTTGAAGGGAAAACCACGGTTAAGTTGTGAGTCGTAAGGCTGGGAGCCTGCTCTGGTGGGCTGGTAGAGGCGCCCCTCTCACTGCACCTCCGTTCTCCTCCCCGCTCCCTGGTTTGGGTGCAGGACCCAGTACCCCAGTGAGCTAGACTTGCCATGGCAACAAATCATCCCAGCCCGTGCCTCTCCTGGTGTTGGTCAGGCCCTTGCTCCCTGGCCTTGAGATCTCATCCACCGCCTGGGGGACCAGAACCTCGAGCCAACACTTGAAATAAAAAACCCGAGGGGCGCCTGGGTGGCTCAGTCGGCTGGGTGTCTGACTTCGGCTCAGGTCATGATCTCACGGTTCATGGGTTTGAGCCCCGCGTCTGGCTCTGTGCTGACAGCTCAGAGCCTGGAGGCTGCTTCAGATTCTGTGTCTCATTCTCTGTCTCTCAAAAATAAATAAATGTAAAAAATATTTTTTTAAAAAGAAATAAAAAACCCAAATGCAAGCATATCCTCTCCCCAGTCACACAGTGCATGCTTCTTGTGGGATGGATTCCCATCCTGCGGTCGAGGCGATGGAAAGCGGTGAAGCCAGCAGATTGGCTGGGAAGGAAAGGGACCTCACAGAGTCAAGGCTAGGAGGGCTCCCCTTCTTAGGACAGGGCGCATCATCTGTGTGCAGCCGTGTCCTCGACCCCTCTCTCTCCGACACTGTTAGGGAGGCTTTTCGCTGTGGATTCTCGACCGAGTACAGAAATGGTTTTTGAGAACAGCACAGGTGGATTTTGCTCTGAAAACCGTTATTGCTGTTTCCGTTGTTGCTCTGCTTTTGTCGTTTTTAAGTAAGAGCGATTCTGTGGGAGACTCCATACGGAACCTTGTGCTTGGCGACATCTGCCTAAATGTGTCCGTAACCAAATATATTACCAACAGTCAACCATGTATCGGGCGTTTTGTGCCAAGTAATTACGTGCGTGTGTGATCTCTCCACAAACTTCGGCCCAGATGCTATGGCCCCCAGTTTACTTGTGAGGAAAGCCCATGGTTGAAACACGTTTTCCAACATGTCCAGTGATCAGGTAGAGGATGGAGCCAGCATTCCAGTCAGGGGTTTCTGGTCAACCTGGCAGACGCCCTGGGTGCCTCCAGAGGGGGATTTTCCGTGAGGCCAAGACAATTCTGCTCGCAGGGTGTCCCATGCAACCCTGGGCAGCTCTGGGGGAGGCAGCCAGATTGCAGCCCAGGGGACATTTGTTATAAATGCCACAACCGATCTCGGAAGACAGTGACCTGAGCTGTCAAGGCTCTCCAGTCCTCAGCTTGTCTCTCTTTTTTCAGTCCGGATAAATGCTCCTTTCGTGCTTTGTTCTGTGTTCTTTTCCCTACAGAGGGGCCCACAAAGCCTGGATGTGTCCCTGTCGGCCGCAGTGTTCTTATCTGACTGTGGCTTCTAGTCATTGATTCTTTTGTGCAGGGCAATGTCCTAAAGCACTGGGATGTGGGTCAGTGAGCTTGGATGCAGGGAAGGATGTAAAAGTTCACCCCTCGGAGGACACTTTCTGGGCTGTGGAGATGAGCCCGTGGACAAGTGCGTCAGCATGAGGGATGGAGAAAGCCGAGTGAGAGGGAGGCAGAGCACAGGAAAGGGTAGGAAGGCTCACCGCAGGGGCAACCCGCTGCCCCGTCCCCAGGGCACCTCCACTGGAGAAGAAGGCTGGATTTTATAATAGCAGCAGCCACACCCCCAGGTCAACAGTGGAAAGCTGGGGGCCTGCAGGAGAGGGGCTGTGGGTGGCCTGAGGACCACCTTGCCCGAGACAGATGGTTGCAGATGGAGGACAGAGGGCAGGGTCTTGTGGGAACGTTTCAAGTGCACCTGTTCAGGGCAACGGAGACAATGAAGCCTGCTGCGCTGCGCTGTGCTGTGCTACAGTAAGTTGACTGATAGAATCGCCTGGAGAACTTTTACATTTCCAGATTCCAAATATTCCTGCCTACTGAATACAGCTGTTGTGAGCGTGTCTTGCTGACAGTGCCCGTCTGCAAGGGCTACAGCCTGCTCCCAAGAAAATGAAGAGAAGCGGGGTCAGGGGGGCTTGCAGAGGGCTGCTGTCCCACGTGTGGACTGTTCCAGACTTTCAAGATCGGGCTTAGACCAACCGTCTCATTTGGTGGAAAATAACCAACAAAACGAAGAATCCTCTGACTGCCACACCCCAGTCCCCCAAAATCTTTGGAAGACATCTCTACCAAACAGAATGTCCAGGTTTAGACGTTTAAAACACAACCTCTTAAATGAACGGTTCTTGTAATTTCACCAAAATGAAAGGGTAGGTATTTGAGCAGACTCAGATCATTAAAGACAATAACAAAAACAATTTTTCTAATGACACTGAAGGCATGTGAGGTGTCTGCTAGAATGTGTTGGGCTCAGAGGATTTTGAACACATGAGACTCAAAGCCTGGGAGATTGAGATGGCCCGCAGCTCAGGGGGTCCCTACCCTTGTCGATGTCTGCTTTCTACCTCTAAAAGCTCATTCTGTCTGTGCGGGAGACAAAAACATCATCAGGGGCACCAGGTGAGACTGGCAGATACACCTGGCTGCTTACAGACGGCGCGGCCCCGCAACTCTTAATTTCTTTTCCTGTGCCTGCAAGGCTAGGGTCAACGTCTGTGCCCGGCGAGGATAGGGTCAATGTCTGTGTCAGGGGCGCCCACCCGGAAAATGGGGACAGAGGCAGGGCTGGGAATCCGAGGGCTGTGGCCAGGGCAGTAAGGGATGTGGGCAGCTAAGGGAGGGGCTCAGAGATGCTCAGTCCTTCTGTTCTCTCCATTCCTGGCACGGAGAGATTGGGTCCATGACACCTAGTGATTCAAAGGTCTTTGTCAAGGGGGATTCATTTACCGTATAAGAAATGGAACACAAAATAGTGAGAGTTATTTCTTTTAGTATAATTTATTGTCAAATTGGCCAACACACATTGTATACAGTGTGCTCTTGGTTTCGGGAGTAGATTCCCGTGATTCAGCGCTTCCATACAATACCCAGTGCTCATCCCAACAGGTGCCCTCCTCAGTGCCCATCCCCATTCCCCCCTCTCCCCCGCCCCCCATCAACCCTCAGTCTGTTCTCTGTATTTAAGAGTCTCTTATGGGTTTGCCTCCCTCTCTGTTTGTAACTGTTTTATCCCCTTCCCTCCCCCATGGTCTTCTGTTAAGTTTCTCAAGTTCCACATATGAGTGAAAACATACGGTATCTGTCTTTCTCTGCCTGACTTATTTCAGTTAGCATAGTAGCCTCCAGTTCCATCCATGTTGCTGCAAATGGCAGGATTTCGTTCTTTCTCATTGCCAAGTAGTATTCCATTGTATACATAAGCCACATCTTCTTGATCCAGTTGTCTGTTGATGGACACTTAGGCTCTTCCCATGTTTTGGCTATTGTGGAGAGCGCTGCTGTGAACACTGGGGTCCATGTGCCCCTGTGCATCAGCACTCCTGTGTCCCTTGGGTAAATTCCTAGCAGTGCTATTGCTGGGTCATACGGTAGTACTATTTTTAATTTTTTGAGGAACCTCCACACTGTTTTCCAAGCAGCTGCACCAGTTTGCATTCCCACCAGCAGTGCAGGAGGGGGCCCGTTTCTCCACATCCTCACCAGCACCTGTTGTTTCCTGAGTTGTTCATTTTAGCCACAGTCAGTTAACTCTGACTGGTGTGAGGTAAAATAGTGAGATTTACCAGAGGCGCTCAACAAATGTGAAGCCCCTGAGGCTGGGGGATTCCATGTCCATAACTTTATTTAAGAAATGATATGAGCACCTGGGTGGCTAAGTCAGTTAAGCGTCCGACTCTTGGTTTCAGCTCAGGTCATGATCTCCCAGTTTTGTGAGTTCGAGCCCCACGTTGGGCTCTGCACTGACATCACAGAGCCTGCTTGGGATTCTCTCTCTCCCTCTCTCTCTGTCCCTCCTCCATTCACGCTCTTTCTCAAAAATAAATAAAGTTAAAAGTAAAAAAAGAGAAATAATACATAGCCGCATCCTAACTGAATGGGACGTCTTATGGGTTTGATCTGCTCTAAACCACTGCTCTTCCAGATTGCTCTGGCGGTTATTTACAGCTGTAAAAAAAAAATCTGAAAATCTCCTTTATAACCAGGTTAGTAAGGTTTTACCTGAAAGGAATGTAGAAGTTATATTCAATCTATACATCCAAGCCACGTGATTTATTTAAAGAAGTTTGTAAGTAAAACTAGGTAAATGGATTGAAGCCTAGTTACCCGAATCCAGACACAGACTCGGGACTTGTTCCTCACCATGAGTTCTTTCTGAGGCATTAAGGACGACAGCCAATTCACGTTCCCTGAATGATTAAAAAGCTTCATTTGCAAAATGGGTTTGTGGGGTTATTAGGGGCTTTGCTTTTGGGGAAAGCTGAATCATTGCAGTTCTTTTGCCTCATGCACATATTTCCCACTTGGGGCAGAAGTTAGAAGTCAGGTGTTTGCTCGTTGCAAACAGATTTGTTTTATCTGACACATTCGGTCAATACAGTCAAATTTCTGGGCCCATCTTTCTGCATTCTCCTTATATCATGCCCAGAGGAGTCCTGATTGCAAAGGTGACAGTGAGTGACAAGAGCCTCAACATCAGAGTCGAGTGGGGTATCTTAATTGCGATTCTGCCTCACTTCTCTGTTTGACATCAGCAACGAGCCTTCCATTCTCTCCTGAGGAAAGAGAGGGGGGTTGGGATGCCTGCTGCCTGGGCCCCTTCCAGCTCGAGCTGCCCTGAGTGCATGATGCTCACCTCCTCAAGGTCTTGTCCGTGTGCTGCCCCTATAGTCCCCAGAGGGTCAGCTCTTCATTCCTCTTATCCACAGACCTCTGGTTTTGGACTCAGTGTTGGATGTGAGTCTGGGGGCCCCTGAATTCCCAGAAGGCTACCTGGTGGGAGCCATGGGCATGTCCATGTGCCGAGCTGCCTCAGTGGCCACCCCATTGGGTGATTTAGGGTCCCAAGTCCCCCATCCTGATGCAAGGCTGGTCCTGGGACCTCCCTCCATCACCTCCCCACTGTAGTGGCCACACGGACGTGGCTGAATTTCCCCGGAGTCAGCCAGCCCCAGGCCTGGGGGTGGGGAGCCTGCGGAACACACCTTGGCCTCTCGCTGGGGGGACTAAAGGACGTAGCAGCCTTTCTGAGGTGTAACGTGTTCATTTCACTGAGGTGGCTTCAGCTTGACGTCAAGTAAATACTAATCCAGACTCAGTAAGGGGAGACTTTGTTCAAAAGGGATACTGCAGTGTGGGGGACATTCTGACAATCAGATCTGCAAACTTCTCGAGAGTTAGGGACAGGGAGTTTTCTTTTCTAAGGAGATGTCACAGGACTCAAAGGACCCGGGCGTGGGGAAGTGAGAGGAAGCAGTGACCTGAACGGACAGTGGGTCAGAGGATGTCCCAGCCCTCAGGACAGGCGGGGGAGGCTTCCTGGGGGCGGCAGTGAGCTGCGCCTGCTGACTTAGAGCTGGAGAAGCCCCGTGAACTTACCACAGGCGTAGGGCCATCCAGAGAGATCTAGGTGGATAGAGGGCTCCATCCCCTTTACCGCGGGCACAATTGTTGCTGCAAAAGTAGCACATATTTAAAAAGCTGTGGTTAAGGGTTCTGTATTTGAACTCCAAGGAAACGCTTCCAGGAGCCCGGGCAGCTGCACAAGGTCTGGGGGGAGAGGGTGGGGGGGCTCCAGTCGGGGTCCCCCACCAGCCACTGAATTAGGGTTTCTGGGAGAAGAACCTGGCATCGGCGCTCTGTTCTGAAACACCACTGGCATGGTTCCCAGGGCTGGTGGGTCTAAGGAGACAAAGCCCCATGCAGAGGAAATGATTCGAAGAAAAGATCGAGGTCGAAATCGGTTTCCAGGAACCAGAGAATATTCTGTAAACCAGAGTCAGCTTGGCCTGGGACAAGAGTGGAGCTTGAGGGGAGGGTTCTAAGAGCCTCTAAAGAGCAAGGGGCTGCCTCTCTCAGCCAGCGTGGGGCCTGCGCTGTCCACTAGGGCTGGGGCCTCCGCTGTGTTCTGTTATTAACTTTTCTTTTGGTAAAGTCCATACAGCAAAACATTCACCGTTTTAATCGTTTTCAACGTGCAAGTCAGTGGCATGAACTACATTCGCATTTTATTTTAGGGTATGAGCCTGTTCCAAATGATAACTTGCCATTTGACTTTTTAAATGTTTATTTATGTTTGAGAGCCAGACAGACAGAATGCATGTGCATGAGTTGGGGAGGGGCAGAGGGAGAGGGAGAGAGAGAATCTCAAGCAGGCTTTGTGGTGTCAGCGCAGAGCCCAACTCGAGGCTCCAGCCCATGAACCCTGAGATCATGACCTGAGCCAGGATCAAGAATTAGATGCATGGGGCGCCTGGGGGGCTCAGTCGGTTAAGCATCTGACTTCGGATCAGGTCATGATCTCACGGTTTGTGTTCAGGCCCCGCGTCGGGCTCTGTGCTGACAGCTCAGAGCCTGGAGCTGCTTCAGATTCTGTGTCTCCCTCTCTCTCTCTCTGCCCCTGACCCACTCGTGCTCTTTCTCTCTCTCTATCAAAAATAATCATTAAAAAAAAAGCTAAATAAAAGAGGTGGACACTTAACCAACTGAGCCACCCAGGCGACCCTGCCATTTTATTTTTAGCTTGACTATTAAATCTGAAAGTCAGCACCATGTTTGGCTTTGTATTCAGATCAGAAAAGATATGAAAGTAGTACTTTGCAGTACTTGCACTTAGAACTTTATGTATGGGGGTTTTGTGAGTGAAAAAACAGTGTCACGTCAGATGTGTGTGTGTTATGATACATAATAATATCAATAATATCGTATTAATAGCCACACTGACTGATCAAGAACTGACCAAGAGAGATTATGTCATGGGCCAGGGTGCACTGCTGGCTCCTGGCAAGACTGGGTTTGAATTCAGGGTCCCACGTGCCTCCTTCCCTACAAGCATAAATACATGCTTTTTCTTCCCTGACGACATCTGACAAGCTAAGATGTCAGTTTTCCACAGAAGAAGAACAGAACAAAGTGCAGAAGACAGGCACACGTGCCACCCTCCACCCTGGGCGGACTCCTCCACAATCACACAGGAGCCTGGGCTCCGCCCACCTTCTCTCCCTCCTGGCCCCGCCCTGTCTCCCTCCTGCCCTCCCCCTCTCCCTCTCATGCCTTGTCCCCCAAGGTGGCCACTAAGACTGTGGGTGTATGAAGGTTACAAGGATAGTGCACACACAGACACACACGCTCACACACGTACACCTACACATTCATATGCACTTACACACACCACACACATTTATACACATACATGCTTGCACACACCTCATGTATATGTGTATACACTCACATACATGCACACACCATGCACACACACATCATAGGCATACACACAGACCCACACATGCTGCACACACTCACGCATGCACACATGCGCGCGCGCACACACACACACGCACGTAATCTCTCACACGCACAATTGGCTCCAACTCCACTCATTTCAGAATGAGGTTAGGTCCAAGATTCCTCTTTTCCAAACTCACATCCATTTCCTGCCCTGTTTCTTTTTTTATGAATACGTATTTTTCCATCAGTAATCATCTTATTTATATATTTTAACTTTATTTACTTATCTTGAGAGAGTGAGAGAGTGGGAGCGGGGGAGGAGAGACAGAGAGGGAGAGGGAGAGAATCGCAAGCAGGCTCAGTGCTGTCAGTGTGGAGCCTGATGTGGGGCTCGAACTGACGAGCAGTGAGATCATTACTGGAGCCAAAATTAAGAGTCAGACACTCAACTGCCTACGCCACCCAGACACCCGGTAATCTTGTTATTTTTGAGAGATGGAGTGCAGCCTGAGGTCAACACTAGTTGGAGAAAAACCTCACATTTTCTTGTGCGTCTCTGGGGCTGCCCTTGTGGGTTCCCAGAGGACGCGTTTCCCTTTTCCTGCGGGAGCTGCTTCTGAAGCCCGCACCCCACCTGCGCTGCTCCCTGGAACTTCCGTGGGCTGGCCAGTCTCCGCTGCAGACACGCTCCCCTATCACGTCTGCTTGGAAGCCATCGAGGAAGGCATCATGTAAATTTAGGAAAGAAGAAAACCTAAGGTGACAACTGACTGAGGGGTAAATAAATGTGTTTTATAAGGAGCAAGTGACTACAGTTTTACCTCCCACCAACCAGAATGGAGGTCTGTATGAATTCCCAGCTTTCTAATTTCTGACCTTGACTTTGGCCCTTGCTCCCTAGACCTTGCAAAGCCTTTCCCACGTCTGCCGCCATATTCTGTAGGTACCTGTGTCTGATGGCAGGTATGGCTCCATCCCGAGCCACCGCATATCTGTTTCTGAAGAGTATCTGCTGCCCCCTCCACCGCTCTACTGTCTCCTTCTCACTCCCTGTCGGCTGTGACTTTGGGGAGGGGGTGGGGTGTCCACAGAAGGGCCAAAGCTCTGAAAATGCCTATGGAGATATTTCTGGTTTGTAGCTTAAGTTTTACCTCATTTCCACACTTAAACGTGGCTTTTCCCATAGAAGCAGCAGAATGACACCTTACCTCTAGTGCAGTGATTCATTCATTCAGGTGTATTTATCGAGTCCCTACTGTGTGCCCTGAGATGAAGGCACTGGGGTACAAAACAGAATAGCAAGATGGCCGTGCATGGAAGCCCACCATCCAGGAGAGAGGGACGTGTGGGCAGGGGGGCTGCCAGGAAGGACCCTGATGCACCTCCCATAAAGAACTTTCTATTCCCATCACAGGCTGAACAGGTGTCCAGGGTCAGGGGAGTTGAGGGGGAAAAGTGGGGAGAGGATGAGGGAGCTCCTTTGCCCCGTGCCTTTCCTCTCAGTCAAGTGAGGAAGGAAGGAAGCCTCTGCCTCCCCAGATGGGCCACAGTGGACTCCATCAGGGGTCACCGTGGCACATGGGGTCCCACAGGTACCCAAAGGCAAAGGCAAGGTGGACCCCGAGTTCCCAGGTGGCCCTGTAGCTTCCCAAAGGGCACCCCTGAAGAAGGGATCACGTCCCTCTTCTTGTGAGCACAGGGCTAGGGCCCACCTACCCACACCAAACCCCTATGTCCGCAGAGCTCACACCCAGTGCTGTCCACAGGTGGGCACCCCGCTTCAGGCCAGGTCCCACCTATGCGCACCCTGAGATGGGTGTGGACTCTCCAACTCTGGGCTGGGGCATGGCTTCAGCTCTGAGCCAGACAGCCCCCTGTTCAAGCACGGTCCTCGCCAGACCCTAGGGATGCAGGGGAATCTGGGACTTTCACTTTTGCCAGTCTCCGCACATGTCCTTCGAAGGGAACGCCAACCTGCTCCATGACTCCTGGTCTGCTGAGACGCCAATCAAAGGACAATGTCTGGCGTGTCATTCTGCAGCAAGATTGAAAATGCCTTTGAAGCAGATAAATCCAGTGTAGTATAATTTTGAATAAACAAAATAAGAGAAAGGAGGTGGAAAACGAGAGGTCATCTGGTCCAATTCCCTGGATTTATAATAAGCAGATGATTTGACCTGATCTACCCAGGGTTATGGGGAGTGATAGGAGATAGATTAAAACCCACCTCCTTGAGTGGTTGGGATTCCAATGAAAGTGAAAACTGGGAAAAGAGAGCTGGCCCAGTGAGTCTCAAACTCTAGTGGACGTGGAAACCACCCACGAGCTGGTTAAAACACCCCCAGAGCACTGATCTAGCAGGTCTGGGTGGGGTCGATCATTTGCTTTTCACAAATTCCTCCAGTGATGCTGATGCTGCTGGTCAGGGACCCCACTTTGAGAACCACTGATGTCCCTTTAGCTCGGCCACATGGCAGTCCCACAGCCCTCTCCACTCTGCGGTGGTGACCCAGGAGCTCTGGCGTGTGTGCATATGGGCTGATCCTATCCCTGTTCTGAAAAATGAGAATCGCTGAAGCACTGGGGTCTAACACTGGATTTTTATAATTCTTCCTCTCACATTTGGGATTTTAGTTTTTAGCTGTGGTTTGCTTCCAACTGATGTCAGCAAATATTGGGCAGAATTACACCCTCTAAATTACGCTCGAACGCCCTGTGTATTTAATATATCTTTTGTTTCCAACATCCTGGAGTCTTTAACTAGCCCTTTTCCAGATCAAATAACATCCCCTGCGTTTTGATTTATTTACAGTTTTTCTGAGGCCGCAGGAAAGCCAAGTCTCATTGTTGGCACACAGCTGGGTTTTCTCCGCCCTCTGCTACCTGGAGGTTAATTGAAGCAAACATCCTAGAAAAGAGAAAGTCACCAAACACATGGCAGAAGAGTGAGCAGCCTCAGGCCCCGCCTGCTGCACCATTACCAAGTTCAAACAGCGGAACCCAAGCTGAGGATGACCCCGAGTGAGTGACCCCCAGGCGGGGCTGGGTTTCCTTCTTCGGGAATACACTGCACTGCTTTTGCTGCTGTGTTTAACACTTTATTTCACAGTAACTGCAAAATTAGAGACAAAAGTTTAAAACAGAACAATGACACCTGTATACCCTGTACTCAGAATCAACTACTGTTTCCTTTTTACTTTTAGCTCCTTCATTGTCTGTCTCTCTGTATTTAATATTTTCTGAACCATTTGAGAATAGCTTGCAGACATCATTTCTCTTCACCCCCAGACAATGGATATGCTCTTACCCAGCGGTTGTCCGGTCATCACCTATAGTGAGTTTCACATTGGACACAACCCTCTGACCTGGCCCACAGCCTATACCCCATGTGTGACCATGGGCCCAAAGATGTCCTTTAGGGTACTTTCCCCCTGGTCTAGCACTGTCTAGCATCACTTTCTGCACTCAGCTGTCATATACTTCAAGCTCTTTTCCCTGGAAGCATTTCAGACTCCGGCCCTTCTTGTCTTCTCGGGATGTGTTCTCGGCAAGTGTTTGCTCGCGTGTCATACCCAGGGCACAGGCTGTGGTCTGCACTAAGCGCCCGGCCTCCCTGTGGCCCATTTCTCTGCTCTGCACTTGACAGTTTTCCTCTTGCATCTAATAAGAAATCTGTGGAGAGGCCCTGTGAGACTTGACAATATCCTGCTCCCCCTCAAAATCCATCCGCACCCCCAAACAGACTAAGACTTCCTTGATGATTCCTGCCAGAAGCACACTGTACAGCAATGGCCGCCAGAGGAACCTTGTTCTACCCAGCACGCCTGCTGCATTTCTCAGCCTGACTTGGCAATACTACTACTACTACTTGGCAATACTACTAAAATACCACTTCAACACCATTATAACACTACTACAACACCACTACAACGCCGCTATAGTGCTGCTAAAACACTGCTACACCACCACTACAATGCTGCTACAATGCCACTAAAACACCACTACAACACTACTACAATGCCACTACGATGCCACTACAACACTGCTAAAACACCGCTACAGCACCACTACACCACTACAACACCGCTACAACACCACCACAATGCCACCACAACACTGCTAGAACACCACTACAACACTGTTACAACGCCACTACAACACTGCTATAACACCGCTACAATGCCACCACAACACCGCTACAACGCCTCTACAATGCCACCAAAACACCACTACAACACTACTATAATGCCACTACAACACCACTATAATGCCACTACGACACCACTACAACACCACTAGAACACTACTACAACGCCACTACAATGCTGCTTCAATACCACTACAGCACCACTACACCACCACTCTGACACCACTCCAACACCACTCCAATACCACTACGACACCACTCCAATACCACTCCAATACCACTCCAACACCACTACCACTACGACACCACTACAATACCACTACAATGCCACAACAATATGACAACACCGCTACAACACCACTACAACTCCAGTACAATACTACAATGCCACTATGATGCCACTACAATGCCACAACATCACCATGCCACTATGACACCACTACAACACTAGTACAGTGCCACTATAACACTGCTACAGCACTAGTACAATGCTGCTACAACACCACAACAATGCAACAACACTACAACACTGCTACAACACCACTGCACCACTACAATGCTGCTACACTACTATATTGCTATTACAACACCACTATACCACCACAACACCTCTACAACACTGCTACAATGCCACTACAACACCACTACGATGCCACTACAACACCACAACCCTACTACAAGGCCACAACAATGCCACGACAATGCCACAATGCTGCAACAACACCACTACGACGCCATTACAAAACTACTATAACACCACGACAATGCCACTACAACAGCGCCACATTACTACAATGCCACTATAATGCCACTACAATGCCATAACACCACCATGACACCTGTTTGACACCACAACACTACCATGCCACTATAACACTGCTACAGCACTACTACAATGCCACTGCAATGCTGCTACACTACTACATTGCTACTACAACACCACTACACCACCACAATGCCGCTACGACACTGCTACAATGCCACTATAATGCCACTACAATGCCACTACAATACCACAACACTACTACAAGGCCACGACAACGCCACGACAATGCCACTATGATGCCACTACAATACTACTATAACACCACGACAACACTACTACAACACCACTACAATAGTGTTACAGCACTTCTACAATACCACCACAATGCCTCTAGAACACCACTACAACACCACTACAACACTACTACAATGCTGCTACAACACTGCTACGCCACTACACCACCACTACAATGCCACTACAACACCAAAACACCACTACAACGCCACTATAACACCACTACGATGCCACTACAACACCAAAACACTACAATGCCACGACAATGCCACAACAATGCTGCAATGTCATGACGCCACCACTACAATACTACTGTAACACCACGACAAAACCATGACAACACCACAATGCCCCTACAATGGTATACAATACTACTACAATGCCACTACAAAACTACTGCTACCACAATACCATCACAACTCTGCTATAATACTGCTACTATACTACTACAGTGCTACTATACTACTACTACAACACTACTATAATATGACTATAATAAGACTACAGTACTACTACGATGCTACCATGATGTTACTACAATACTATTACAGTACCACTACACCACCACAATAATACTAGTACAAGTGAGAGCCCTCCCCTCTCCCCCGGTTATCTTAAGTATCTATGTACTTATTTACATGGACCCATGGATATTTTGCAATAATTCACTGTCATCCTTAACTCTATTGGAATGCAAACACTCCCAGATTTGGCTAGTGGGAGCTCCTTCCCGCAGCTCTTGTGTGTCCTTGTGACAAGCCCCCATCTCTGTCTCTCTCCCTTTTTTTTCAGTATTTCCTTACTTTCTGATACAGTAAGACATTCCATGCTCATCTACTTTCTCCACCCCATATTCAGGATCTGCCGCTTTTATCCCCAAAATAAAGTGTTTGATACCTTTCTGGTGCACTTCAAAGCTGTATAGAGTTTTCTTTAATAAGTAGTTAGGCTCTCGGATGGAAAGCTACTAGTCAAATAAGACCCTTTTGGTGGCAAGAAATAGAAAACCTGAGGGGAATGCGCACAAGGAAAATGCCAGTTAACTGGGTTGGCATTCTCCCAGGAAGGGGGGGATGGGCAAGCCCTGGCAGGGAGCAGCGCTTCTGAACCTCTGCGGCTGCTGACCCTGGATGTGGGCACTCACGCGTTCTCAGCGGCAAGACCTGGCTTCTCTCAGCGGGCCACCGTGAGCCCAGAGCCCTTCCTCTAAAGAGCAGGGAACCTGATGCCCAGGGTGCCCTGAGCTTATGTTGTTTGGCTTCTGCCCCTGATGAATTTCTATTCAAAACCCTGAGGAAGAGGTTCAGTGTTTCCTGGGAAGAACTGGGTCTCCCTCGCTGGCTTCGTCGAGATCCCTGGAGACAGGCTCGTAAAAGAACAGGACAGCTTCTGAGCAGGCCAAGTGCAGGCACAGGGGGAGGTGAGGGCCGTCAGGCAGGCATGAAAATGGTTGGTTGGATTCCTGAGCACTCTTCTCGGCAGCTGCAGATGAGTTATTTTCTCTGCTGTAAGTGATGCTGGAATATAAAGTTTCCAACAGCCACAAAACCATATTGCATCCCTGACAGTTCGTGGGTCATGGCAGCCAGGTATCAGAGGAGCAGCCACCATCACTTCCTAGTGTTGCAGTCTCCTGCCTGAGCTGTGGCGTCTCAATTAATGGTGGAGAGGCCACTGGGTGGGAGGGAATTTGGTGACTCGGGCAACTGGCCTGACCTAGTGGATTGTGGACTAACCTGAAAGGCACTTCCTCCTCCGGCACCCCCGGCTGTGTGCTCTGTGTTTGGCCGGAGTCATTGTTTTGATGACTGTGGCCTTGCCTTCACATAGACCTTGGCCAACTGTGACTGCTGGTGACCACAGATTGACAGAGAGTCCGGGTGTGGACTAGCCCCTTTCTCTCCCTATTACTCAATTCCCAACTCCCTTCTGGCATGCCTTTGACATTCTTCTGGTTTGGACCCAATCTATGGGTCCTGTTTCACCCATCAAATTCCAGATTAGGTGTGTCTAGGACCATCACAAGGAGTGGCCAGTGTGAGGCCGGCATGCAGGTCCCTCTACACTGAATGGCAGCCACTGCTCCTGTCATCCCAAGGACCACCCACCACACACAGCCCACGTCCTCCAACTTCATGATCAGCAC